CACACACACACACACACACACACACACACACACACACACACACACACACACACACACACACACACACACACACTCACTCACACTATATCTCTCTATCCTTGTGGGGACTTTCTATTGACTTCCATTAATTTTTTTAGAAATTTTAGGTCCTAACCCTGACCATTTACCCTAAAATTAACCTCACAGGTACCTACCTGACCCTACAACTAACCTAAACTCAATTAGTTTAGTTTAGTTTAGTTTAGTTTATTTGCACAGTAAAAAAATACAAATCAGTTGAAAGAAGAAAAAATGTGACAGTGCAGGGAGAGGCAAAAAGCCCAATATATTATGTTTTTTTCTGGTTTCATGTTTTTATTTTCACTTTATTCAGATTTTTCTGTCATGTTCCTCTGTTTTCTTCCTCCTGTCTGCCTTTGCTCCAGCCCCGCCCACTCACACCTGTTCCTCATGTTTCTCCCCCAGGTGTTCCCTGTTTGTGCTCATTAGTCTCACCTTTATATTCTGTGTCTTGTCTTCACTTCCCTGTCAGGTCATTGTTTGGTTATGTTCTGTATTGTGCCTTGTCCTGCCCTACCCTACCAAGCCTTGTAAGATTTTTGAGCTGCCCAGTCAGCACCTTTTTTGTTAAATAAAAACTTTGTTTTTTGGAGCCTTTATCTGCCTGCTTCATGGGTTCATTCCTGCCTGAGAATCATAACACAATAGGCTTATATGAAGCCTCCACTGGAAAAATAAAAATACATTGAACCAACAATGAAATCCATCAATTAAATCACAAAAATTTTAAGCAAAATGTATAACAATAAGGCATTTAAAAGAAAAAAATAACAATCACAACATTTTAATTAAGTACAATTTTTTTTGAGAGAAAGTTTAAGCTGTTTAACAGAAGGCCTGCTTTTTGCTAAATGAGAATATTCATTCCAAAGTATTGCTCCCCTTTCGGACAGAAAACTGACCTTCTGCTCTGACATTTAGGAAGATGAAGTGCTGAGCTTTGACGAGTTAAGTAAGAATTAAATTGCAAATTTAATTATTTAATTTAAAATAATGAATAAAATGCATTGGCATGCTCCGTTCTCTTTCAGAAATCTTATAAATAAAAACACAAATTTGAAAAATGTTTCTTATAAACTGTAAGAATCTGTAGATCTCTAAACAAAGGGGTAGAAGGACAACAAGAGTCTAATCGAGCTGCAATTCTAACAAAGCGTTTTTGAAGAATAAAAAGTTTCTGTAGTGCTGAAGGAAAAGCACTTCCCAAAACTATATTACAATAACATAAATATGGGTATATAAAACTAATAAAGTGTAAGCAAACATTCTGTATTGATGTAATGACTAACCAACAGACTTATGCAATTTGGTACAAATCCTATCTATATGATCTTTCCACCTTAAATTCTCATCAACAATAACTCAAAGAAATGATGCCGATGATACTTGTGATATCTTTATGCCATCAATAGCAATTTCTAAACATTTTATTTTCAGTGTATGACTTTGCCACTAAAAATAATAAAATTAGATTTTTTTTAAAGGTTTATTTAAGGACAATTTATTTAACCTGAACCATGGTTTATAAGCACTCAAACCAAGATTAGCATTATTAAAAAGCAAATAAAGATTTGAATGGGATAAAAGCAAGGTTGTATCATCAGCAAACATAATTGGGAGAAAGAATATTTGTAACATTTAATAAGTCATTTATGTAAATCAAAAATAACAAAGTCCCAAGAATTGATCCTTGCGGAACTCCAAAAATTATCTTAGCACTTGTTAGAATTGCAACCCTTAAAACAAACAAATTGTTGTTTATTGCTGATATAGCTATTTAACCATCTGTAAACAATTCCATGAAAACCATACCTATAAAGTTTCTTCATTGGAATGTGATGATTTGACAGTTTCAAATGCTTTTGATAAATCAATGAAGATACTACAAGAGAATTCATTATCTTCAAGTGCAGAGGTCACTTTGTCAACCAGATGAAGTAAAGCCATATATGTAGTGATTTTTTTCTAAAGCCATAGTGGTGCTCATAAAGAATTGAATTATAATCTAAATGATGCAAAATACTTTTATACACATTTTTCTCTAATATATTTGAAAAACATGGCAGAATAGATGTAGGTCTGTAGTTATTGAAACAATGCATAGCATCTGCCTTGAACAAAGGAATAACTTTGGCAACTTTAAGAAAATCTGGTATGATTCCAGTTTTCAAAGAGAGAAAATATAATGAAGAGGTTTCAAAATAAACTGCTTCACCTGTTTGACAAGAAATACAGGAATACTGTCACAACCTGCAGAAGATTCTTTAAGATTATCAATTATATCACTCATTTCTTGAATATCAGTAGGATCAATTCACACCGTGGTCCTAAACCTAAGCCCCCCACACAAAATCAGCCTCCAAAGTCGTGGGGACCATTCAGTCCCCAAAGAGGCTGCATTTTCCTGAAAAACTGTCCCCACCAAGGAGCAAAAACAAGGACACACACACACACACACACACACACACACACACACACAAGGGAACAAATACAAGTACACATGCACACACCCTTGTCTTTCTCATTTACAGAGTTATACACATACAATTACCGGTACATGCTCATTCTCCCACTTTATGGGGACACACACACCCCTATACTTGTCTTTATGCTTATATGACCCATGTTCACAAAAGTCCTTTACATGTGACTCATGTTCACAAAAGCCTCTTCTCCATTGTAAAGTCTCACTGTAATTGGTTTATGTATGCTTTGTTTCCGCTCAAGTTTAAGTTTCTCTGACAGTGTGTTCCTCACTCTGTGGACGGATCATAAGTGCATAGCTCGTCTGATAGTCTTGATGTTTTTTGGGTTTTTTTGCCTCTTAAGTGCATGTGTATCTGGGTGACCAGTTTGTCTTAAACCTCCTGGTATACATGATTGCTGATTTAGCTTTTACAAAGTTAAATTTCTGGTAGAAGCACTCACTGTTCAGGTTTGTCCAGAGGCTTGGCATTCTCTTTGTTTTTAGAGGATTTTATGTGCTTTTCAATCTTGTCCAGCTCCTCCTGTTGCGCCCTCTGTAAAACAGACACAATAACTGGCTTAGTCAATACCAGAATTCATTCACTTCCCTTTAACACCAAATTCAAAATGTGCACTTTAATGTTAATATGACCCAATTTTCAACAACAGATCAGTATACAAAAAGTAAAGCTGTAAAAAATATACACTGAAATTGATGTGAATTATGTTAACATTTGCAAGTGCAAATGGAGGGTTGGGCAAACATGCTATACAAGTGTTATAAGTGTGGATCATTTTTAAATCATATAAAATTGTACTTTAAAAACATAGATTATTACACATTGACAAAAAAAATGTCCTGCAGCCAAAATAAATGGTTCAATCTGGATATACAGTGGTTTGCAAAAGTATTCATACCCCTTGAACTTTTCCATATTTTGTCACATTACAACCACAAACATAAATATATTTCACTGGAATTTAAAAAATACCAACATGTTTTGTATAGATGAGGCAAATTTAAATTAAGACATTTAAAGAACCATTTTTTCTCAAGCTGTACAAGCAG